TTCCTTTTTTTTTTTTTTTTTTTCATTTGACTGAAAATCCTAATACAAGCATTTAATCAAAATATCGTTGTCTATTCACATTTTAACGCGACAACATCGAACTGTATTTTACACCCGACACCATGTTCTTATCATCTTTTTTTTCTTATTTCTCTTTTTTTTTCTTTTTTAATAATTTCGTGGATAAAAATGATCATAAGTGATATGTACAAAATGAAATATAAAAATAAAATTATGAATCTTAGATTCACATAGTGATGGTTTTGAAGCTTTGCTATCTATAGTTTTTCGATCGTAACTTTTCAAAATTACTAACGCGATTTACGATAAAAAAATAACATCACAGACACTGGCACAATTATTCAATAACATAGTTGTTCCCATTGACTGTAGATGTTGATAAATACTAAAATTAGAGTGTCCGTCACACACAGTCGTGCATCGATTGACTCCAACGGGTAGTTCTCTCCAACGCATGACGTTGCTTTGTTTTTACGAAACGGGGGACTTACAGTGGGCAGTGGATGGTTGCATGAGAAGTGATTACAGTCTAGATGGCCCAGAGGAGCATCTGTGGATAGATGTGAGGTAGTACTCCTGTAGCGGTCAAGTGCAAACATATCCTTCCTGTGCTACTGTTGATGCACCAGTAGGCCCTTCCTGAAACATTTCAAATAATAAAAGAATTACAATATATTTCTTGAAAAAAGGAGAGGAAAAAAAAAATTAAAGAAACCAAAGTAAGAGAAAGAAGCGGAACGTAGCAAATAAACAATATTGTTATATCCTCCGCTCCTTACCTCCATACGATTCCGATTTATGTTAAAAAATAATTTCTTCTCTGATCAATCCAAAATTGTCTTACTATGCTCTATTTTTATATGTAGTTACCTAATCCTGTTATATGATGATTACTGTTCATTATATGTACAATGTCTTACATCCTTAGCAGCTGATAATGTTTGTTTATATTCATCCAAGCTGAATCCGGAATTGCTATCTTCTCCGCAAGACTGGACAACTAGTGATCCATCTTCTCCATGCTAAGACATATAATTGTTCATTAGTTATATTTATTTTAATATTTAATCAATTGTATTATAATTATATTTACAATACCTACGTGTGTCACTGATGGCTGTTCGCCATCGTTGACTTTTCGCTTTTTCATACTTGCATCTTGACTTTGATCAGATAATCTCTTTCTGTTCGTTGTATTCCCTGGGTTTCGTGGCGAAACGCTACCACTATTACCGTTTCCAGCAATATTTCCGTTTTTATGTACAGTACCGGAAACCTAGGAAGAATTTTTTTTTTTTTATTTAATAATTGTTCTATATTTATCATTTATCATATTATCATATTATTATATTATATATAAAGATTGAAAATCAAATTAAAAAAGAAAAATAAAATTAATGCATACCTTTCTTTCTCGTTTAAGCAAACTAGGAGATACATAAGTGTGCAGATCCCTCTTTTTCACGTGTTTTACTTCAATCCACATCCCTTCTTTCAACATGCTTAATTGTTCCGCCTGTCTCAGAACTAAAATTTTATATGAAAATAATTGTAATTAAACTATGATAATAGAAAACTTAAATTATTTAATTTGGATTATTAGATTATTATTCAATCGTGAAATATTATTTATTTTTTGAAAATAATATAATATACTTACTTGAATCTACAAAAGATTTTATATCATACGTTAGATCAACGTTTAAATTTTCGCTTTTGGCAAAAAGCAAGCCTATGAACCACATAGAGCAGTGTCTTTCTGGTTCTGGTTCTAATGGTGGAAACGCCTCCGGATTTACATGTGCCAATGTGATGTGAGGATTCCTTTCCAGTGTACCTGTTTTTGAGAGTTAGGATTTTGCCATTTTGGCATCCGCGAATTATTAGCATTGTAATATCAATAAAATTAATATTCAAAGTCAAAGTTTCATAATTAAAATAGACACAGATTAAGACAGAACTTATATAATTAACTAATTTATAATTGCCGCTTACTCCTGCGAAAGATGCATAAGTTTATGATATAAAAACCTATAAACAATTCTAAAAATTCATATTGTAAAAAAAGAAACCTGTTTTAATCTACGTCATTTAACTGGAAAAACACATATGAAAAAAAAAAAAAAAAAAAAAAAAAAAAAAAAAAAAAAAAAAAAAAAAAAAAAAAAAAAAAAAAGAAAAAAGAAAGAAAAAAAAAGGAAGAAAAAAAAACAGATATGATAAACTAATATTGATACCCGATGTTTTGTTATTAACATTTTGTTAAATATTTTTAATGGGACAACAAAACGATGTACAAGTTATAAATATTTAAAAGCGCAATAGTTAGGTCGTGTTTAAAATCTTTTTATGAGTTGATAAATTAAAAATGGTTCAATTTATTCGAATGTTCAATTAATGTATATATCATTTTATATATTATAATGATAATTATAATGCATGTTCATCGACGGGTTTTATCATATCCATACAGTCCAATTGAATATATTTAATAGATTTTTCGATATTTTACCTATTAAGTGTCGTATTTTTGATTCGACAAGTCCACACCATTCAAGCTGATCTTCAGCAGTTAAGCTTCTTGCTAATAATACAATATAATGTTTGTATTTTCCAAAGAAATTTGGAGGTTCAAATAATTTATCCCAAGTTGCTTTTCCCATAATAATCTCTTCCGTTATTGAAAGACCGTTTTCAAATGCTTCTTGCATAATGGTTCTCGTTGATACCGAAACGTTAAAGGTAGAATTTTGTTGAGGATATGCAGGCGTAATTATTGGCATTAAATGATATCTGTCCGATATATTCACCTTTAGAAAAAAGTTTATCAACTTAGAAAATTTTTGTTAACATGAAACTTTTAGTCAAATTAATTAAAGTATGGGAAGAATACTTACTCTTGGATCCCAAACAGGAAATCCTAAATTAACATTGTCAGGTTGCTTTAAAAGGACTGGCTGTGGCCATTTCCATTGAGAAAATACAAGGAAAAATTTTTCTATTAATGTTGCTGCAACAGCATTAGGATAAAGTTGGCACGTTCTTGCTACTAGCATAGCCCATGATACACCACCTAAATATCCTAATACATTACTATATATGCCATGTCCTAAAGATAAAAAACAAAAAACGATAAGTAAAAAATATTCGTTTTATTTTATGATATAAAAAAAATTAAAAAATAAATTAATTTACGTTTTGCCCATAATTTAATGGCTCTTAGGGCCAATCTAAAATTTTCTATGTTAGGTACTAAACGCAGTATCTCATCTGTAACTCTGCAACCATTAAGACTTCTAACGCATTTTTGATCAAGATTTTTTAATAACATATCATCTCTGAGATCCTACATAATAAAAATTTATTAGATATAATAACAATGAAAAAAAAATTTATAAATTATAGTGATAGTGTCTTATATCTTGATCACTGGTCATTGAATTTAATTAATTTACACGAGAAAGCTCCTAGAGAAAATCTTTCTTCAATAAAAATTTTATTTTAAAATAAATACTAGAATATTTATATATTATATTAAATATATTTATTAGAAATCATGAATATAGATTTCATTCGCATTTCTAAAAACTATTGGAGACAACCAGCTTGCAAGATAAAATCCAGTTAAAATGTAAGGCACTATTTATTTATAAATAAATTACTAACCATTGAATCCGGAATTTCTTTTAGAGCCAGTTTAGCAAACAACATATCAATTTCTATGCCATCAAAATTCATTTTTATTACTGGCACAAATGCTTCCTCTACTGCCTAAAAGATATTAAATGATATAATTAAATAATTGTGAAATTTATATTTCAACAAATAGATAATATATTTTATACAAAATAAATCTTTAATATCAAATCAAATAAAAATTGAATAATTAAACAAAACGATTTATATATGTTCGTAATCATTTCTATCGCTAAAATAATTTCGTGAATAAAAATAATAAATTCTATTGATATAAAGCTCATAAAAATGTTTTTTTTTTAATTTTTTAATTTATATTTTATTTTATTTTAAAGAATATAAGAAGAATATAAGAGCCTTTGGTCCTGATTTTGATATTTATCGAAAATTATCTAATTATTATAATCATTCAATCTTTATTTCATTAACATTACTTCTTATTAATTAATAATAATTCAAAATATGAATTGTATTACTTACTATATTATAACTATATAAAAAACAATTCATATTAAATGGATAATTAATTACTACAACTATTGACATTATTTAAAATACATACCCTTAAATCGGTAACTTCTTCTTGCATTTTTAGTAACTCGAAGAAGGATGTAAAATAATCTGACCGATAAATATGACGTGGTACTACACATAAGGCATCTATATCAGCACCTTTGTGGTGTACCCCTAACCTGTATGAACCAAAAGTATATATTTTACCGCCAACCTGTTCGGCTACATTGGGTGGCATATTTCTGGCAACACTTGTATCCCTTATCCATTGTTTTACTAATGCATTTAATTTACTAAAATTAAACAAAACAATTAATATATGGTTAATAATGTTCAATATTATTATTATACAATACACATGAAAATATACCTTAAAATTTCCATCCTATGATTTAATTCTTCTTCTGATTCAAACACATTGTAAGGCTTTAATGCTTCTTTTAATTCATTTGTTCTAGTAAAATCACTGGGCTTTGGTTCTGCTACACTAATAGCAGATGTCATACCCAGTGTACGCAGATTTTTTTCTTCTTTGGATGAATTATTTGAATTAGAATTGTTACCTTGTGATGACCACATCTTGAAATTCATTTGTTTGTTCCAGATCTAAAATAAAGAAACTAATTATATTGACTTAAAAATGAAATAACATTATTTTTATTTTATTTTATTTAAACTGATTTTTACATATATTAAAAATTGATTATATAAAAAATTATTTATAATATATTAAATGATAATCTGAGTAACTTCATTTTATGTAATTAAACAATCGATTATATTATCACAAAAAAATAAATAAAATATATCTAAATGTTTATAAATGTTTTTAAATTAAGTATTATTTTTACGTATATTTAAATATAATACACATAATACATGACATAAATTTATATATAAATATATTAAATATTATCATAGAATAAATGCATTTAAAATTCAAGATATTTTGTACAATTTAATTCATGTTTTTATATTTATAATCAATTTTTACATGTTATGTAGCACTAAAAAAGCTATATATATAAAAGTAAAACGTGAAAATTTCTCAGAAATATAATTAATAAATAGTGATACTTCACAAATTTGAAAAAGAATAGAGTACAAATATGGATAAAAAATAAAATTCATACGTTTATTTACACAAAACATTGAATGTTTTACAATATATGTAAACGTATGTAATAATCAACTTAATTGCGCGATTTTCCTTTAAACATTAAACGCGTAATAAAATAACAAACACAGAAAATAATGGATGTCGCAGACTTGTTGAATTCTTACCGCTTAATACTTCGTCAAAGATTTAATAACATGTTAAAAGAGAAGAAACTTTGGACGTGTTGTCAGGTTATAAAACGCGCAAATGCTTCTAGTAAAGATGCATCACGTTCATCCAACGTTTGCAGTTGATTCCTGAAAAGGAAATTGTATTCCTAGCGCAAATAGCACGTTCTGAGGATTCTGCTTAGCCGCAAAGCAGTATGAACAACTTGTAAACAATTTATGAAGTAGCAAAAGAATTCCGAGAAACGTAGGTCCATAAGTCACCAAAACGTTCACGTCTACAAAATTATTCCATGTACCGCCAATGAAAATTAATCGGTCACAATATCGATTGAAATCTACTTCACGCACAGGATACTTTATACTACGATATAAATAAATAAGTAAACGTATCACTTGAAAATAACAGACAACATGTAGACCCGCACCAAACCACCTACAGTATAAACATGGCGTTCTCTGACGGATCAGTGTGATCATGGAAAAGCACGTGGATAGAGTGATGTATTCAAGTAAATTTTGCCATCGTAGTTGACACGATCGCCATCTAGTGTACTATTGAGAACTAAAAAAAGTTTATATCTTGAATTTTGGCTATTTAGAAATTCTTTTATTATTCTACTAAACCGTCTTTATTTTTATTGCTACTTAATATATTTTAAATAGATATATTTAATAAATTATTTATTATAGAATGAAGAATCAGAAATTCTATTGTTATAGTACAAATATTGCACTATAGAGATCGCAGTAATCGATATTACATTTCTTTAAAATATATTGCTTATGACTTGATGTAGAATATATATATTTTCATTGTTATATGTTAAGTTGAATTATTATTTATTCCAAAGAATGGTACTATATAATTTTATTATATATGAATCACAAAAGAAACTTGGTTTCATTTGTTTTGATACTTTAAATATTTTAAATGTAAATTTAAAAAATAAATATTTCAAAAATATAAAAAACATTTTTATACATTAATTTTACATCAATATATATGTAAAATTTTTATTACAAATATTAGTATAGTTTCTAATATTTACAAGATTGATAAATATTATTACATTTAAATATTATTATATTAAAAACATTTTGTGTAGCATTTAATAGTTTTTATATTTATTTTATATTTATTTTTTTATATTCAACTATATCAGTTATAATATTTTAGTATATCAATATAGACGTATCATATTATAAATTTTATCCGACTCAAAAAAAGAAGAAAAATAAATCAATTAAAGAATTTTTAATTACATTTCAATTACATATTCATATTTATTATTTTCCTTTACACAATATTTTTAGTTAAATATATTCTATTACATTATATGCAATTTCAATTTAACTTTCTCCAAAAATCTATAATTTTATTCTCAAATATAAAGCGCCTAGCAACATGATTTTTTATTTCCGATTCTCTCGAATGATGGCGCCACATGGCTTTATTGTATTAAAACTACACTATATTGCGAAATTTTTTTATTTACTCTTTGTTTCAATTCTTTTTTTATTCATTTTCTTTCTGGTACATGTTAGCTCCAATACAACAAGGACAGTATAGGTAAATGAAAACGAGTCATTGCATTGCTGAAGTTTTATTTGCAACTGAGAATTAAACTGTATCATACCCACGAGAATGCTCGAGCCAGAACGTTTACTAGCCGCTGCTAAATTAACGCCAGAATTAATTTCCATCCACTTTTGCATTCTATCTAATCTACGTGTTCTCTCCACGAGCTAAACGTTTCAACGAATATAATAATTTGTACTTTCACCCTTTCTTTTTATCCACCAGTTACAGAAATAATTTCACAGTTTTCATTTTTCTTCATACAATGAAGAATTGTAAATGAATTGAAAATGATTCTTCCAAATAAGATATTTTTAAGATTTTTACAAACAAAAATATTCGAGGAAGAAATAATATGCATTATTTTACATCGTTACTGTTAATTAGATATAATGAATAAGATAAATAAAAATCATAGAATTAAATTTAAAAATTTAAATTCTAATATTTTTATTATTACAATTAAATCAATATTGATTAATTTTTAAAATATTGATATTTTCAAAAATTACAAAGAATAGAATTTTTAGAACGATGTATAAATTTACAAACAAGAAATTGCATATTTATATTTCTCATAATTTCTTATAAATTCATCGATTTACTTTCATGCTGACATCCATGAATACACTCGATGGCAGCATCTTCATCCATGTTATCATCGATTCAAGTCTTTGTCTCGATCTATTCGTATCAAGACGCGAAGTCAGCATCTCGTTTTCTTTTCTCTTCTATCTTTTCTATTTCCATTTCTATGATTTCACGTCTTCGCTATTTTCTAGGCCAGTGGAAAACGAATCATCAAGAACGGATCGCGAAAAGCGTCTTTTAATTTTCCATCAATTTTGCGAAAATGGGCGCATGACGTTAGAAAATCGACTTTTAATTAAAACGACTTTTTGATTAAAATCGTAAATTAAAAAAGAAATATGAGCTTTATAACAGTGATTAGGAACGAACGCTTGGCAAAGAGTTCAATAACCTTAAATAAGCCGTCGATGTTCATGGTTTTAGACACGTGACATTGCCGAGGGAAAATCCTGGCCTAGACGGCTGTAAATCTTGGATTATCTTGCCGACTTAACGTCAACTGAGTCATCATCGTTGCTGTCGACTTTTAACATACAATTCTTAGTCTTCTACCTGTTACCTGATATTTCGTGGAATGCTAAAATTACTTGTGAAATGAATTTGAGAGAAATATGAGTTTTGTGAAGGTCGTAAATGCATTTAAGTTTTATGATATGAAATTAGTGTAATATATTTTTGTTTATTCCACAGGATATTTTACCATAGAATTTTCGATGATTCAGTTTTATGTGTCACCGATTGTTTTTCATTTGAAAATAAAAGGAAAGATTTTCCAGATAAAGAATATTACTTTTGTATAGTTTTCATTGCCAGAGCTTTTATAATTTGCACTAAAATTCTCTGTAAAATTTTTCAAATCACAATGTTTCGTTTCTATATGTAAATACAAGAATATTTTAATTTTACTTGTTACTTTTTTGAACAATTAATAATAAAAATATAATTAACATGAAATGTAAAATAATATATTTACAAAATATTGACATTAATATATTTCTCTCGTAATATTTTTCAACATTCGAAAGAAGAATATTTTAGGCTCATTGTAAAGCTTAAACCGGAGGAATGAACGATAAAATTTTCGATTTCGCTGTTTTGTTGCAATTACTTTTGCTTTGCCGATGAAATCAAGGATTAATACAGTACGCGTTGAAATTATAGACTATTAACGAATAGATTGGAAGAGAACATGAGAGTATATGTATGTAAATCGGCATTTTTCAACTGAACACAGTTGGCTCCAGTCATTAATATTCGCGGCATAATTCAGCTGCATCGCGGTATCCGCATTCAGACCGATAAGCGAAATAACGATGTGCTAGCTCGATGATACATATTTTTAACGAGATCCAAGCGGTGGAAATTCGCGTGGGAACTTTACCTATCGAACGATTACAACGGGATCAAGGCAACGATGAATTTGGATTAAAGAATCTGATCAGTTAAATGAAACTATATTTTTTAAATTTTTTATCGATACAATTCAAATTGATACAATTCTGTGAAGAGATTATTTTGCAATGCAACAACCACGTTGTAAAATAAGTTTTATATATATTTTTTTTTTAATTGTTCGAATAAATGCTGTTAAGAATCCCTATTACAGATTTTGAAAATAATTTTGAATTGAAACTGAAATAAAATATATAATAAATTAATAAACTAACTGTAACAATAATAATACAATAATATAGAATAAAATAGATTATATCCATATTGAAAATCATTTGTTCTTGATCTTGGAAAACAAAGGCAATAATGTTGAAAATATAGAAAAGAGAGAATAATAAATTTTAGTCTAATTTTCTAAGAAAACAAAAAACAAACGTTCTCAGATAGTTGAATCAGGAAAAAAGAAAGATTATAAGACAGTCATAATTTTAAAGGCGAGCTATATATAGAAAATTAAAATGAAGAAGAATTTATATATTTTCATCGTAAAACCAAAGTTTGCTAATTACATGCTAGCAGTTTTGACGTCAATAACTTCTTTTATTGTTACATTAGAGAGGATTATCGATATTTATGGAAGATTTATGGATATAATCTTTCGTATTTATTATAAATAACCGCTTAATGACATGAAAATTCTGCCATGATAACGATGTAATAAAAAGCTTCGTGCAATAAATATCGCAATGGATATATATAAGTAAATGAGGATTTCATAACAAAAGAATTTTTTTATAATTTCAATCAAATTAAAAATCTACTACAACTATGAATTTAATCAAATTTGTTTAAAGATTAACTTTCTTAAAAAAGACGTAAATATAAATATTCAAAAACAACTTTTTGCGCGATGGATTGACTGACGAGTTCGATTTAGTAGAATTAATTCTCTTGCTTATTAGGGCATCGATACGAAACAGCTGTAAATAATCAGGCTCTATTGCCTGGATGAATAACTCAGCGGCTACATATGCCTCGTGATCAATAATTACACAATACAATGATAGCAACGAATTTTGATTCCCTTCTCGATGCTTACTCACTCCAGAGGCGTGAATAATTGAAACCGGTAGAATCAAGTGTGTAATCTAAATCTAAATTAATAGGTCGCATTGCCTGTGCAATAATAGCCGTTATGATACCGGAGAGATTAGTGGTGGCATAATTCACTTGCAGAATTGATACTGTCAACGCACAGTTTCTTACTTATCACTTTTCAAAAAACTGTGCGTTGACAAGTTAATTATTTATATTTGAAAGAATTCTAGAATCGTATGATTAGATTTTGTTAAAAAATTACTATTATTCGTATTATTCACGTAATATTCACCGTATATATTTTACCATAATATTATAAAAATAAGATGCTGGAATAGGAGAAATATTTTGACCGGCAATGGATATAAATTATAACGAAATTTTAAAGTTTATGAGTTGCTCGCAAGTTGAAGCATCCTCACGGTTTCCTGCAGTACTTACTCTTACTACTCACGGCAGATAAATGGAACGCGAATTCTACTGTCAGAGCTTGGCTGCTTCTTGTCGCGACAGTCACACATGTTCAAAATTACAGTTATTTACGAAGTATGACACGCAAACGTGAAAACTTCTTGTATCTAACCTTACCATTTAACGGTAAATTCTGCTACCTGAATTTTACAACGGTACTTAAACATTTTAACTTTTGCAGTCGAATGCGGTACTCGTGTCATTAAGATAATTTTATTTTATTCATCGAATGAGAATTTTTCGTACCGTAATAAAAGGACTACACTTCCTGTAAGAAAAAGTAGTGA